TGTGTGGTCCAGTGCCCTCTTCTGGCCTCCACAGGCACCAGACCCACATGTAGTGCACATGCATACATATACAGGCAAACACTCATGCACATAAAATAAAAAAATTTAAATCTTTTAAAAATCTCTCTAATTTAAAATATACTACAAGTGCCAGGCATTGTAGCATACGTCTTTATTCTCAGCACTCAGGAGGCAAAGCAGGCAGATCTCTGTGAGATCAAGGCCAACCTGGTCTGTATAGTGAATTCCAGGTCAGTTGGGGCTACTGGGAGACTGTCTCAAAAAAAAAACAAAAAAAAACAAAAAAAAAAACCACCAAAAATGCCCAAACAACAAACAAAAGTTACAAGGCTATTTAAAAAAATGTGGTACTGGCATAGAATAGAATTAAGAATTGAAAAATAAATCCTTACATTTATTGTCCATTGATTTAAACAATGATGCCATAGTCATTCAATTGCTAGAGAATAGTTTCTTCAATAGTGGTGCTAGAACAGCTGGATGTCCCACATAAAAGAATGCAGTTGAGTTGTACTGCAGCCTGACATAGTATGTGAAAATTAACTCAGAGTAGACCAGCAAACCTCTTTTCCTGCTGGAGATAATTATTACATCCTGTCTTTGTCTAAAGCTAAGAGTGTCATGCAAATTGCTTTAATTCTCATGCCACTGTTGAATAGATTGTAAAGCAATGAAGCTTTCAACACTCCTGGAATGAATGGTGTTCTGGCTTTACGCAGTAATCACATTTGCCTTGAAAACCTTTCATATTTTTCATAATTTTCTCCTGTATGTTATCTAACTTAGAACCCCACTCATTTCTACGTATCTTGCATATCCTGTACCTTTTTTTTTTTGGTCTTTTTGAGACAGGGTCTCCCTGTATTCCCAGCTGTCCTGGAACTCACTATGTAGACCAGCCTGGCCTTGAACTCACAGAGATCCGCCTGCCTCTGCCTCCTGAGTGCGGGGATTAAAGGCGTGGGCCACCACACCCCGCTTATCCTGTACCTTTTATGGTGACTCATCCTACTGAAGTGGGATAGAAAGGACATGGGAAAGGAAGAAACCCCCAACCCTGTGATCTAGTATGCCTTTCCTTCTGACTGAAAGTCAAGAGACTTAAACACAATTGATTAAGCCAAAATTGCCTGCAGAGATAATGTGTGTTTTTTTTAGAAACATATCAAGCATGGATGTTAAAAATAACAAATTAACTAGGCCAGGCTGCATGCCTTTAGTCCCAATACTAGAGGCAGAAGCAGGTGAATCTATGTAAGTTCAAGACTAGCCTGATTTACATAGTGAGTTCCAGGCCAGCTGAGGCTACAGGGAGACCCTGTCTCAAAAAAAAAAAAAAGAAAAGAAAAAACACCTTAGGGTCAGGAGGATAAAAATTAACCAACACATTAACGCAGAAAATAGAAGTCTTCCTGAGCTTAGACTTGGCTTTGGATTTTTAGCTATGACACCAAAGGAATAAGCATTGAAGGAAATTAGATTTAATAAAAATTTGGAAGTTTGGAGCAGGGTATGGTGGCACACACCTTTAGTCCCAGTACTCAGGAGGCAGAAGCAGGCAGATCTCTGTGAGTTCAAGGCCAGCTGGTCTGTGGTGCGAGTTCCAGGTCAGCTGGAGCTACAGAGAGACCTGACAAAAAGAAGGAAGTTTTGTACACCAAAGGACATTATTAAGAAAGTGAAAAGAAGGCCACTTGGGAGGCAGAGGCAGTTGGATCTCTGTGAATTTGAAGCCATCCTGGTCTACATAGTGAGGAAAAGAAAAAGAAAAGCAGTCAGGTATGATCCCAGCACTTGGGAGACAGAGACAGGAGGATCAGGAGATCAAGATCATCCTCAGCTACATGACTACTTAAGTAAGTTGGAAGCCTTATTTCATAATGCCCCACCGAAAATCCTCAA